GAGATTTCACGGCTCCACAATTCATAATAGAAAAATATAATTTCTTTAATTTTACTTTTTTTCATCTGAAACTTAAAAAAAAAATTTTCGGAAAAAAAAACGTAAAATTAAAAAAGTTGGTATTTAAATCGCTTGGTTGCCTCGACTCACGTTTCATCCTTATCTTTTATTCGCTGTCCTTGTCTACGTTCGGCAAACTACAAAGGCGGGCGCAAGGCTCGAAAACGTAGTCCCTGACTCTACAAGTGTCAGGTTTAGGTTCCTTGCGAACTGACATTTGCGGAGAATTTACTGCACTATGTTTTTTTTTTATCGCGATGTGGTAGCCGGCGTTGAGACGACTTCAGCAAGCTATCATTGAAGGTCATGCAAGGTCAAATGTGGAAGTAAAATAAACTTTCTTACATTACAGGAGATGTTCGACTGTTTGCTTCAATGCAAAGTTGCAATCTTCGTATCTTCGTCTCTGAACTTATTCCAGCACATGCACTTTTATGTCTGTATTATTAGAAAATGTAGCACTAAACGTTCACCAAATGATGTGGTTACAGCACGACGGGTGTCCAGCACGTTACGCTCGGAGAGTAAGAGATGCACATGCTGCAATTATCCGTTGTTTTGTGGTGTAGAGGGTACTTCTTGGCAAACGTTTTTTAATGCTCCTCAGAGAAAAAAATCTAACGGAGAGCGAGCTGGCCAAGAAACTAATCCTCCACGTCCTATCCATCGATTTGGGTAAAGTTCGTTAAGTGCATCTCTTACTCTCCGAGCACAATGTGCTGGACATCCGTCGTGCTGTAACCACATCATTTGGTGAACGTTTAGTGGTACATTTTCTAATAATACACACATAAAAGTGCATGCGCTAGAATAAGTTCTGAGACGACGAGACATGCACGTGATGCAAAGATACGAAGATTGCAACTTTGCATTGACGCAAACGGTCACCACTTCGAACATCTCCTGTAATGTAGGAAAGTCTATTTTACTACCAGATTTGACCTCGCATGACCTTCAATGCTAGCTTGCCGAAGTCGTCTCAACGCCGGCTATCTCATCGCGATAAAAAAAAAACATAGCATTCCATTTAAGAAAATAGAGATGACCTTGAAATCTCCTCTATGTGTCCCCCTCTATACCGTGCAACTTTTATATGTAACATTTTTTCATATTATTGCAAATAACGGAGATATTCAAGGTGGACATAGTGACCCACCCTGTTATGCAGGGTGTTCCAATTTTTTCCGATCAAACTTTGTCAGTGTGTTCTATGGGTATAAGTGAGAAAAAAGTGTTACATAGACATAGGTCGTTTGAAACTTTATTAAATAGTTATAACGATAATACGAAATAGGAAGGCGATGGTAACGAATGTGCAGTTATGATACAGAATAGGAACAGATCAGCGTTTTTCTGTGTTTACAATATGGGGCCGTTGAAGGTGTTGAATGTAAGGAAGTTTTACCAATGCCATTTTTATCTTGTATCATAGTAACCGAAAGTGCGTTTCCATTCCCTTCGTAATTTCACATTTTTGTCCTAACTTTTTAAAAAAGCTTCAAACCACCAATGTTTATACAATATTTTCTTCCTACTTATACACATAGAACATACCGACAAAGTTTGATCGGAAAAACTGGGACATCCCATATACACATAGTATACAAGGGCCGAATACGATATTTTAGCTGGTTCTGATGCTTTAATAAAAGAACGTTTCAAACGAAGGTTCATTGCTATTAAATGAAAAGCATATTGGTTGTAAAAGAAATCTTTGAAAGTATCTTTCCTCCACAAGAAATTAATGTCAACTTGTGTCCTTTAAATGTCATTATATATTTTTCTTTGCATATTCGGAAACTACATGAAAAAATCAATTCAGTGAAAAAGAATGTACTACTTTAATTATACGATCCTAAAATAATTTGATTTATTTGCCAAGTACAATCCTCGAATTGATCGCCGATACATAACGTCGATGCACCAAACTTAAACCGCAACAAATAAATGTCTTTCCGTACAGTTATTGTATATTATATTGCAGGACTTTTTGCTTTATTATGTGAAATAGGTATTCTGTATCAGATGTGACGATGAATCGTTCTACAAATATTGAAGAAGTGGATACGTTGCTGGTATTTGGAGAGTGCCAAAGAAATGCACAAAAAGCTGCAGACTTATATGCGGAACGATATGCAAATATAGATCATCCATGTCCGGAAACATTTTATAATACTGAACATTCCCTTCGTTTATACGGAAAATTACAAGATGGAAAACATAATCACCCTAAGTCCGTAACAAAAATTGACAGCGCTGTACTAGCATTAAATTATTTTGAAACGAATCCACGTACTTCCACTCGTGCAGTTGTTGCAGACATATCAGACACAAGTATGAGAAGAATTTTAGAAAATAAGAAATATCACAAATTTACGTTAGTTCAGCTTTTACAAATATCTAATGGTCCACGTCGCTTACACTTTATCGCGTGGCTGATTACTAATTACGAAGAAGACTGTCATATATTTGATAAAACGGTGTGGATGGACAAATCGAAAGTTACAAAAAAATGGTATTTTTAATTGACAAAATTGACATTTTTAGGCAGGAAGAAATCCACATTTCACGTGTAAATGTAATTTTCAGCTGAAAATTAAGTATAAATGTGTGGTGTAGAATTACAAATGACACTTCAATTGGCTGAGATTTTTATAACGATACATTAACATCGCATCGATATTTAATTTGTTTGCGATATCAACTTCTGAAATTGATGCGAGAGATTCCAGAACACACACAGGAAAATATATATTTTCCACAAGATGGCTGTCCAGCCTATAATACTTCAATGATAAGAACATATTTACATATAATATGGTCCAATTCTCCGGCTAGCTCGCTTGCCGAATATAAACCTTTCAGATTTTTACCTCTGGGGGTATTTGCAGCGAATTGTTTACACAACACCTGTTGATAGTAGCGATAATCTTAAAGAATGTATAATACAGGCCTGCGGGAGTGTGCAGAATCATGCTTTAATTGAAGCTACACACCGGAATTTATTGGAGGGAGCAGAACTTCGTGTTGCAAAAGGTGAAATGTAGTTTAAGAATTGACTTGATTTCTGATTACACCTATGTCCTATGTAACATTTAGTTTTCACTTACTTATATTATCTTGTGTGTATTTTTATTAACGTTAGTATCTGAATTCGGTGCATCGGCGTTATGTATGCGCGATTAACTCGAGGATTGTACTTATTAGAATCGAATTGTTCTTACCGAATTATTGGTTTCTTCGTGTAGTTTCCAAATATGAAGAGGAAAATATATAATGCTGTTTAAAAGACACAAGTTGACTTTAAATTTTTCTGGAAGAAGGATACTTTTAAATATTTCTTTTACGCCAATAAGTTCTTCACTTAATACCAATGAACATTCGTTCCAGCGGATACCGTAGCACGAACTAGCTAAAATAGCTAAAACATCGAAAATATGTGTAATGTTAAAATATCGTGGCGACTGATTTATGCCGCATCCTGTATAATTCAGAACAGTGAGTCGTCACTTGGTGACATAGATTGGACCATAAAAAATGTTCTTATTAAAAAAAAAGAAAAAAGATATGTACAGGGTGAGTCACATAATATTAACATCTTGATTTACGTCAATATTATTATGTGCAGAGAAAAACGAATTAATGTAAAGTGTATAGTTTGAAGGGGCGCGTAACATGGGTCAAACGAAATTTTTGTAGGTGGAGACGCTTCAGATATTTGAATTTCCGACCATTGATTTTTTAAATGGGAACTTATGATTTTCTTTTGGCAGGACTGTAGTATATTTTTTTCTGCCGGGCAACTCTGGTAGTTGCTTGTAAGAAGAAACCATCGTTCTGTTACTAACCTAACTGAACCTAGAAACATTTCGTTTGACCCATTTAGGCAGACAAAGTTTTTCTTGACCCTGTATATACAGGGCGTTCGACCACTCCTGTGAGAAATTTGAAGAGATGATTCTAGAAATCAAAATAAGATGAAAATCAAGAACAAAAAATTGCGTTCGAAGCTTCGTCTTTTAGTTATTATCAATTCAAATCTTTACACTCGTGTTGACTCTATAAACAATTTTAGCTTTACGCCATTTATTTTTTAAGGACTAAAACGGTATTTGTACATTTTTCCTGGACACTCAGTGGCCAAGACAAGCGTAGTGTGCGTATATGTTGTGAACACTTATACATGCTATGTGAATTTTTGTGAGAGCGATATTTGTAAGATGTTTTAACGTAAACAGCATTCACCCTTGCTACTCGAAAATTCCATTGGGCTGGTCTTGACATACCCTTATGGATTTTTGCTAGTAGGCAGGTTTAATGTCGTTGATTTTTCGTTGGAAATGTTTGCAAAATTATGTCCGCCCTTGTGATAGTTTCTACTACCAGGTAAACGTGTCTTTCTTTGCTTTGTACGACACTGACCTTCCCGCCGCGCGTCTGTCTGGTCTAGGACGACGCGACGCATGAAAATTGTCTGCTTCAGACATAGATTTCAATAGTTAATAACCGAAAAACAGAACCATGCTTTTCGTCTTATTTTGGCTTCTAGAATCGCCACTGAAAATTTTTCCCAGGCGTTGTGGAACACCATGTATATACGTATATGAACAAACACTTTTTGTATCCACTATAACTTGCACCACAAGGTGACTACTCGCTGTTCTAAATTTTCTACAATGGTGGAAAACGCACCGGTAACACATATAACACCCAAATTGTCACTAAACGCGCACAGATGGTCCCCGCTTTGAACGTGTTGAATCAAATAAGTCATGTTACATAAAATTTTAGAAACACGAGTAAACCGGAAGACAGCTCATTTCCTCTTTGAAAAATGAACAATTAACACAGGTATTAGCACATCTGCTCTGGTTCGTTTCTATGAGACAAATAAAGCGTAGTGTACACATGTGCAGAGCGTTTATCGAGGATGTTTCAACGATGCTCGAAAGAACTTGTAGATATTGTGCTCCTAAAACGAACCTGAAACGCTTGGCACGTTTATTCAACATTGCAAAAAGAAAACAGATAACGATTTTTCAGCAATTCTGGCAGCCGGGTTTGCAGCCAGGAACGTCCCAGGATGTCAAGCCGTTTTCGCAGCCGGCATACACCGGAAAACCAGCGACAGCGGTTTCGAGCGGTGACATGGTCCAGGCTCAGCCACCCCCACCCTGGGAAGGACGTGCCATCGCAACCCACAAGCTCAGGCTTGTCGAGTTCTCGGCCTACATGCAGCAACAGAGAGACCAGGATATTGTAAGTACTTCCGCGGAAAGTAGAATGCCGGCGGACGTGAAGTTCAGCCGCGCGATAAATGGCACCTTGCTTCGTACAGAGCCTGGAAAAAAGTACGGATGGTAGAAGCGGAAACAGATTTGCGAACGTGAATGCGAAATTAAACAGAATTTGCGATAACAGATAATGGATATATATATATATATATTTTTATTCGTCGTTAAGAATTTTCCAGTAGCTGATTCTGGCGTGTAACTTGTACCTGGTTGTCGCGAAGTCTTGCCGTTGAACGGACATTCTAAAGTGTTACATTAGAATATTCCTTCGTGAAGCTGATGAAACTTCACATGTTACGATGTCAAATTTATAGATACTGTACATAGTAAAATTTTTCTAGCGTACATTTTTAAATCGTCAAATGCATCTTCA